AAGAGATCAAATGGACCATTTGTTCAAACTTTGGCATTGTTCATGAAATATTACCTTGGGAATCAACAAATGGATATGGCTTGGAAATGTCTGGAAACGGCTGCAGCACAAGTTGAAACCGGTAACTGGCAGCCGCATAGTGACAATATTGATGTGTTTATGAAACATTTCAAGGAAGAAAGAGATAGAGAGAGTGCCGAGAAGCTATTCAAGGTTTTAAAGAAACTAAATTGTGTTGATGATAAGGTGTACAGTCTCTTGTTACAGATTTACATGGCTGCTGGTATAAAAGACCCTGAGATTCGTCAAAGGATTGAAAGAGATGGCATCCTGATAACCGCTGAGCTTGAAGACATGCTCCAAAAAGTTTGTTCCGAGTAGGTTGCAGGTTATTTCACGTTTCGCAATTTAAATTCCAGTAATTCTTTTATATGTATTGGCACAATTGATACATTCTAATTATTTTGATGTTATCAAATCTGGTTTATTTATTCTTGTATGATGAAAATACGAGTTCGAGCTCCATAAAAATTTGTTTTTTTTTTCTTTCAAATTAATCATCTCTTCTCTCCTCTCAAATAGGGAAGGGGGTCATTTGCAAATAGAAGAAACGAGCGAATGAAATTTGTAACTGGTTACAGAAAATGTGAGGTTCATCATTGAGGATTCTCTTTCTTTGTTTCCCGCTAATCTTCGAGGTTTACATCACTTCCCTTTTTGCCTTCTGTTTTTAATTTCTCTACTAAAAATAGAGGGCAAAGGGGAAATGATGTGAACCTCAAAGATTAACGGGAAAGAAATCCTGGTTGGATGATGTACCATACATTTTCTTGAAAGCAGTTACAAATTCCATTTGCTTGTTCCTTTCGATCTGCGAATTACCCCCTCCCCCAAATTGAGAGGAGAGAAGAGATGATTAAAAAAGAACAGATTTATATGGAGCTCACAGCTCGTATTTTCCTCATACTCGCCATCTCTTCTCTCATCTTATATCTCTCTGTTGAAGGTTTGAATATCCTGCCATCCACATCCCAACCAAATTCTAGATTCACTCTATTACCAAAAGATCAAGGTTTGCGGGTTTTAGACCTAGCTAAAGAGGCATCCCAACCATCATTGGTCCCTGTTCCGTCTATAGATGAACCCAACGAGCCACCAACTGCATCATCTTTCAGCCCTGTTCCGTCATTAGACGCACCAGCAGGTGCACCGGGTTCATACGTGAACGAAGCCTTACATAAGGCTCAAGATCAAGTCGGTTCCTTGATTACATCTGTCCCAGCTTCATCCCCAGTTTCCAATGAAGGTAAAGAGGCAGCCGACCCAACCTCATTATGGGACGGTGTGGCCTCAGTTCTGGAAGAAGCTAAAAAGAAGCTTGGACCGGCTACCTCCTCAATCGTAAACGAAGCCGAAGCCGTGCTCAACCCTATTTCGTCATCGATTTTAGGACTAGGCGAAAAGCCATCTAGCCCAGTTCCGGCGATGGCTCCTACAATAACCGAAGGTGGAGAGGAGGCAGAAACGCCAATTTCATACCCAAATTCAATTGCCTTGACTCCATCGCCTTCAGGATTCTTCGATCATGACGTTGCTTTGGCGATCGAATCTCGCATCAAACAAAGCCAAACGGATTCCCAGTTAGCAATGGACGAGGCTAAGAAGCTGCTAAATGATCCAGATATCGCTTCTTCAGAAACGGGGAAATGTCTAAGCAAATGTGTGGAGAAGTACGGAGCGAGCCTGAATCAGTTGAACACGGCGATAACGGATCTTGGTGTTCGCGATGTGACGTTACTTTCAGATGATTTTAGTGCGGTGGAGGCGGATATCGGTAGTTGTCAAGCATGCTTCTCGGAGAATATGGGAGAGGATTCTCCGATGAAGGCATTGGAGGAGGCCACCACGAAAGCTGCTCGTGAATGCTTAACTGTTATGGATTATGCCTCTTAAGTTTTTATTTTTATTTTTATTTTTATTTATACGTATGTTGTGTATGGTAGATCCAATTCGTTACTGTTATGTAGCACTTTGTGTATGCATGTAATTTTATAGAAATGCAACAGGAATTTTTATAACATCCCTTCAAAGGACCCCAAGTTACAAACCAAATTAGTACTCCTGAATATTGACAACATAAACATTGAAAATGAGAAACATGAGAGTTCTATTAAAATCTTACCCGGTAAGTAAATGATAGTGTTGAATATTACAGTTAGATGTTTATCGGGTAAGTGTTTGGTAAACGGCTCCTAAAACCTCGATGTAATGTAAGTAATCCCTTAAAAAGATCTGGCTTTCTAAAACGAATATTTGTATGAAGTTATAGAATTTTGTAATTAATTGAGTTGTGGAGAATAAACATGGAAGGATAACCACAAAACCCGAGCCCAACCCCATTCGTAATTGGGTCTTACACGCAACGCAACCAACCCAAATAAAAATCTTCATTCTTTTTTTTCTTTATCTCCTTCCTTCATCCCTTGGCTTCACCCACCCACCCACCCACTGCCTCACTCCGTCGCAGTCGTCGTCGTCGTTGTTAAACGGATAAGCAACCGTCTCTTGCTCCACAGGAACATCATCTCGCATATCACAATGGCGCAATCTTGTCTTCCTTCTCTCAGATTTAATTCTCTAGTATTCTCTTCTACAAAAAACCCTAGCTCCATATCCGAACCCAGCTTTAACCCTCTCCCTTTACTTCCCCTTCGTTCCAGGTATCAATTGTTACTCTTAATCATCGTTTTATTTGACAATTTCTGTCTTTCTTGTTATAATTCTTCAGTGATTTTTAAACGACTTAAACTGAAACATAATTTTAATACTATCAAGTAATTTTTGACTCGGCAAAGGGGAAGGGAGATCAAAAGTTTTGTACTTCCAAGGTTTACCACCGGGGATGGCAGGATTCTATTCAAGCTAAACCTCTTCATTATTAATACTTTCAATTGTGTTTGCTTCTTATACAATTGAGAAAAAGGAATATGATTCTTTCGTTCCTTCAGTTGCTTTCTCATGAGATTAAGGAATAAATTTTACTCCAAAGTAAGTAAATTCCTTGCTCAAAACTTAAACATCAAGGAGTTCGTTTACCGGTTTAATGCTGTCCTTGTCCAAATAACTAGTGCGGTACTTTCCTGACTGTTTGTGATATTGGGAGATGTCGTTGACAAAGGTCACTCGCCCTTCTGGAATGGGGGCACCCATTGTATTCATACGTTCTACACGCAGAATTTGTTTTCGGATGGATTTTATATCTTGCACATCTTTCAGAGAGGCACAAAATTTATAAGATTTTTTTTGGGAAAGGAGTGTAGAATTTAGTTGAGATTGAAATAAGGACATAGATGAGCTTTTGGATTGAACACATAAGAGGTAAAACAGTACAAGAAACATTATACAATTATACTGTTTAAAATGCTAAGAGGCTCGTCTATTGTGGATGGGTGGTGCATAAGTCTGAGATTTCATTCATATGATGTTTATTGGTTGCAGGAAAGCAAGTAAATTGAGAGGTAATCAGAAAACTCTTCGTACTTCTTCAGTGAAAGCTGTTTATTCTGGTGATTATTTCTCACCTGACAAGAATTCAAGGCAGGGAATATGGTCCATTAGGTAGGGTTCTGTTTAATTCTTGTTTTTTTTCAATCTGTTCAGTTCTTGTACTTGTGGTTTAATTTTCAATGAATAGGGAGGATGTACAAGTTCCATCATCACCCTATTTCCCGGTGTATGCACAAGGTCAAGGTCCACCTCCAATGATGCAAGAACGTTTCCAGAGTGTTATCAGTCAACTTTTTCAATACGTGGGTTGCTATGTCATCTTTGGCCTTCTACTTCACTTTCTTGTTTGTACCTTTGAACTTTGTTGGGTTTTCTATTATTATTTATACTACTAGTGGTTGTATTTGTAGCGAATTATACGTTGTGGTGGAGCGGTTGATGATGACATGGCAAACATCATAGTTGCTCAGCTCCTATATCTTGATGCTGTTGATCCTAACAAGGTTTGATCATATCCATGCCTTTCCCTTATTTTTCATCTGTTAGATATTCTGTGAACTATAAGACATCATCTTTGTTAGAGTTCATTCTTTTATTCACTCTGTTGTCTCTATTTTCATGTTAAAGAACAACTTTTTTTAAGACAAGATAACTTGATTGAAGCTCACCGAGTTGATTGTATAATTTTCTTATTAGATAGGTGAATCTGTATATTGTACATCACCACGGTTTAATGATTGAACATCAACTTTACAGGGTTGCTTATGAACCTTGTTATTTTGCTGCCATGTTTCATGTATGAACATTGAGTTCCTACCACTAAAAAGGCATTTAATATATTAGAATCCCATGTTTAAATATGTCAGTGTCGTGTTCTTTGAGGATCTTATTTCCAAATCTTTTTGGTGGTAATATTGGATGCGAAGATATGCTGACCTTAGTAGTGAGCTAGCTGGTATAGTTTTTGCTTCATATGAGGTGTCTACATTCCACCTTCTTTATAACACGCTCACACTTGCATGGATGTCCATGTCTATTAAGATATTTAGGAAACATTATTAATGTGCTTTAGAAATTTTACTGACCAAATGATAATAATACATGCATTCAATATCATTGACAGGATATTGTGATGTATGTCAACTCTCCTGGTGGATCAGTCACTGCTGGTATTATGTTTTTTTAACCCTTGATGCTTTTGTTTTCATATTGTTTATTTCTATTTACTGTTTGTATGGACGATTTTTTGAAACCAGTTTATGTACGTTATTCCCTTAGGTATGGCCATCTTTGACACCATGAAGCATATCCGCCCTGATGTTTCAACTGTATGCGTTGGGCTTGCTGCTAGGTAATAGACTTATAGCTGCAGTTTTTGTGCTATATGCTGCACATTTCATGCCATGCTGCACATTTCATGCCATGCTGCACATTTCATGCCAGTGGCTTTGGATGATGGAATTGAATATGTAGCAAAATTGAGTTGAAAATGCACTGTTTTCTTGATGAATCTAGGCAGTTAAATGTGATAGTAGGCTTGTCATGTAGTTTTAAGTAGAACACATTGTTGACAACCTCGAGTTGATGCATATGGATTAAATTTATGTCATACATAAAATCATATGTGGGGTATTATAGTCATGGTAGTGCTTGTATCTCTGGCAATTCATTCCGTGTATTCCTTTTATAGCTGAAAGGTGATTAGTGGTTTTGTAATCTCTTATAGTTGATGAAGGTCGGTAATTTTTACTTGATTTTTTATCTTTGCTTTATCACCTATTTTATTGATCAGTATGTTTCTACTCACTTATTTGACAGTATGGGGGCTTTCCTGCTTGGTGCTGGCACGAAAGGTAAATAAATTTACTTAGATTGTGATTGCCTTATGATTCATTTCTTATGATATCGGTTGCAAGAGTACTGTGATTTTATCTTCACAATCATAATTGTAGGGAAAAGATACAGCCTTCCAAATTCAAGGATAATGATACATCAACCTCTTGGTGGGGCACAAGGTGGACAAACTGATTTAGACATCCAGGTGTGTCTTCTTTTGGCTAATTTTTGGGTTTGCTTTTAAAAGATATACTCTCAAGCAAAAGCATATACTTCAAGAGATCTTAACTGTGCACATGGGGTTCCATGAAATATTCTGCTTATAGACAGTTAAGCAGATAGGATGCTTGGTAACAAATTGTTAGTTTTAAGATGTTTACCTGAAGACCGTTAAATCTAAAGTTTTAAGATGTTTAGCTGCAGTGTCAGGACCTGCTATACTATCTGATAGATGAACGGTTCCTGTACTGTGCCCAATTGTGGTGCTTGCGTTTTGCGGATATTAACGACACTCTTCTTGTTGCAGGCTAATGAGATGTTGCATCACAAGGCAAATTTGAATGGATATCTGGCATACCACACTGGTCAAAGCCTGGATCGAATTAACCAAGATACCGACCGTGATTATTTCATGAGCGCCAAAGAAGCCAAAGAATATGGGCTTATAGACGGTGTTATTGTGAACCCTCTCAAAGCTCTCCAACCACTGGCAGCTGCCTAGCAAGCATAGGTGATCATTTTTAGCTCTGTAAACCAACCTTATTATTTGCTGCACTAAAAGAGTGTCATGATGCTGAATCATACGCACCACGTGATGAGTCTTCTTGATCCTTTGTCTTGGTATTTTGTCCCGATTAGAACTCTCTTCACATGTTATAACAGTAGTGTAATATTTTTCTTCAGTACATCTTATTTTAAATGTCATGTTTTTTCATCGAGATTATATATTCATACCCTTCCCTAACCCTAACAATACCTTACCCTGCTTCGTTTTAGATACCAATTAATAAAATATCTTTCTTCCAGTTCTTGAAAAGGGAGGATAATACGTTTAGTAGGTCTGCTGTTTAGTAGATGAGAACATGGACTTTAAATCATTATTCAGTTTTTAATGGACTATATGTGTTTATTTCTATTTTTTTTACCTTTTGTTTGTGATCCTAGTTTTCTTTTTGACAAAAAAGTAAGTTATGGTATTTATAAAGATCTCTAAGAAGTCACTAAATGGCCGTCTGTTGGAATGAACGCGTTAAGCAGCGAGATTGGTGGAAACTGTTGAGATATCTGTTTGGTGAATTGGAGCGAACCAACAGGACAACAAGCTTGATAGATTATAGCAGAAGATGCCAAATGATTTAAGGGGTCCTTCGGACAATTATTATCAGGGCGCATTTAAAATATTTTCTAAGTGTGTGGTGATCTAGATTCTAGATGCAGGACAAAATCTTTCTGGTTGGCCAAATTTCTTGATAGAAATTTTGATTATTAAGCTTCTTTGAACCTTATTTGTACGCGAGTAAATTAAGGGGGTAAAGTGTTGTACTTATTTACAGGAGAATCTGAAAGAAAGAGATCGAATTCAGAGTCTCTAAATCGTTCTAAGCGAGCACCAAGCACTCCAAATGAATGGTCAAGATTGATTAAGAGAATGTAGTTGTATAATCCGTAGTGCAGTAGCAGATGGTTTCAACCAATTTCAGCTGTTGGTTGATTTACCAACGAATCTAAAAAAGAAAACAATTCAAAAATGCATATAGAAGTAAGAAGACAGGTCCAAAACTAGTGAATATGCCAGGCTAGGCACATTTATCAAGTACTAAAAGCTTAACCCACAATTAGCATCAAACAAATTACTCTCTTGATGATAATTACAACCAGGATTTATGAGATTTTATTGGTGATTCATAGTCCAATCAGAGCTTTTGGCTCACAAACTAACCATAGTTGGTGGGTGTATCAAGTAGGACAGTTCTAAAGAATCTTTGGATTTTTACATTTGGCATTTAGCAGATTGGAATCTGCAACTGCTAGTGCTAAGAAAACATCAACAAAACCAAATATCTGTCGCCCACTTTGTAGCAGATAGATTCTAGCACCATTGCCATAAACCCCCTTCTTGTAGTGCAAAAAAGGGCATACTTTTAATGGTATACATGTATTCCCACTTATGCTAACCTCGTGATCCTCGTGTCATCTTTAAAATATCAAACAAAAACATCTAGGAAGCAACAATAATCCACTTAATAAATATATTATATTTTCCACTTAATTTTGGAGATTCATGTCTTTGAGCATATTGAGAGTGAAAAGATGCCTGCTTTTCAGCTTGTTATTACTAGCTACAGCTAGCTTAAATTATGGACAGCTAAATATAATTACATAGAGTGAACTTTTCTTAAGAAGGTTGAACAAGAACTCTCTCCTCAAAAAAATTGGTTCTCATGAAACTTTTGAATGTCGAGGAAGACATGGGTAACTCTTCAAGTTCATCATAGAAGTCATTTTCTTCCGATTTCAGTGCTGAAAAGGTCATGAGATTGGGATAGGAGAGGGGCTCTTCGTCAAAGAATGTATTTTCCAGGTCTACTGTTAAATGGGTTTCGTTTTCTGGGGTTTGGATGTAGCGGAAGTTGTCGTTTTCTTCAATGATTGGATCTTGATCATCGACAACAGTGATAATGGGTTTCTGGTCTTCATTCTTTTGATCTGGTTCAGGGGCTGTAGAATTTGAATCATCATGTGGGATTTTGGTTTTGGCTTGTTTTGATTCCTTGGAGAGAGCAGGGTCTGGATGATTATGAGCAGAAGTGTAAGTGATGATGAGCATAGATGCATCTGTTCTGCATATCTCCACTTGTTTCTTGGCTGAACAACTTTTTGATGTGCTACATCTGTAGTAGCCCCTGCAAAATGATTCCAAAAATAACCAACTTTGTGAGCAATAATTGATGCTTTTTTTAAGTTGGTGAAACTGAGTGATGGCAAAAAGGACCTACACTTTTTAACCACTCAAATGAAAATTGGTATTCAATGGAGGAACAGGAAACCCAACACACTCTATCTTTCACTAGCAGACATAAGTATGATTGGATTGATTTGAACCAGAACCAGAATGGAGTTAATACTAGAACAGGAAAATGGAAATAAATACACAGGGAAACCAGGAATCTATTTATCAAAGTTTTGTGAAAGATTATAATGATTGACCCATACCAAAAGTAGGAAACAACAGACACAGATGATGTACACTTTGGTCCCTAAATAGAAGTTGATTCTAAATATTAGAGTACCAAATATGTTAACCTTTTAATTTCAAGGCTAGAAAGAAATCTTGATAACCACCAGAAACAGTATATATGACACTATATATATATGTATGTATATATTGCTGTAAATTGGAAGTAGCAGTATGAAGAAGAAAACCTCGGATAAGGAGATCCTTTAATGGGTTTTTGCCCATATTTCCTCCAAGACCAACAATCACAAGAAGGGTTTTCAGTCTTCTTTTTGCCTTCAAGCTTCACTGTTACCACAATCTTGTCAGCCACCTTCCTACCTTGCAAAAAGAAGCAGAAGATCATATTCTAGAAGTAAAAATGGAAAGAAATTAAGAGGTCTTGATCTTGAATCGTTAGGAAGAAGAACATGCAGACAGATGGTTTGGAGAAATGGAAAATGTTGTTGATCTTGAATACTTGCCTTTTCTTGGAAGGTTGGATATCTGAATCATTCAGTGGAGAGTCTTGTTCCATTTAATTGGATCTTGTTTATAGTTTATATGATGGAAGTTGGAAATTGGAAGAGAAAGTGAAAGAGGAGATGCAAGAAGGAGGAGGAGGAGGAGAAGAAGCATTAAAGCAAGCAATTGATTAAGAGGGAGAGAAAGGGAAATAAAGCAATAGATGACAAGATCCACAACATGCACTTCATCACATGCAATTACCTTAATACCCTTGCCTTCTTCTATGGATAGAGTTTTTTATCCAAAATTTGCAAGTGGCCATTTTTCTTTATTATATTTATAATATATTTTTAAGTGAGTTAAACCAACATATTAAGGCACCCTTTTTTTTATCACACATGATTCTTGTTGTGTTACTATTTATTGTTTATAACAATATTTTTTGTGGGGACTTGCAATAAATTTTAAAAATAGTTTCTTCCCCATGCTATTTTCATGCAAGGGTTGTTGGGTAGCTTTTAATTTCTCTACCGCTACTTCTATTGATGAAATCAATTCTAGATATTTAAAGAATTTGGTATTTCTATTTTCAAGAATGTTCATCCAAAATCCCAAATAAATTATGGCCGATTTGATTCGTTTGGTTTCTTGGATTTTGAAGAAATGGGAATTTGAATTCCATTCTCGATTGTGATTCTTTGAGGTTTAGCAAAGAAATTAAAATTCATCTCGTTCTATCTTTTGAGTTTTGAGAAAGACAGTCCTATCTTTCTATTTGCCCTAATTCAGTTACCATTGTCATTGTTAATTATGATTTTAAAATGACAAAAATAACCTTAGAATCCAATATAACCAACACCCCGGCTCTCACTAACAATGATTGCCAATGCCGCCAACACAATCGTTACCACTACTTCCACCGCTACCTCCGCTAATTAATAATATTATTAATAGTATCATCATATTGCATGCACTTTTAATAATTTAAGTAAGAAGGTGCGGGTGTTTTATTCATTTACTATTATTTTTATTACAATTTCAAAATTATATTCTATGTATCTAATAATTTCTTTTTGACAAATTCATTACAGTTCTTAAGCCCTTGATCCACTATCCACAGTTCGATTTTCGATTTTCTTAATTATAATAAAATATGAGGTATATGTTATGCTTTATTGCATTTTAACTTGTTATTAGATTTTGTTTATTTCAGTAAAAAATTAAGTACATAAAACTGATTATAAATTTTATAAGTCTTCAAAGTTTCAATGATTTGGTGCCTAGTCTTCCTCTTGGGTTGTTGGGTGGTGTTAAATATTAGCTTCTAGCTTATATCATTCTTGATGTTAGCAACTTCAACCTATATGAATAATGCCTTGTATTAGTCAGATGCTGTCCAAATAATCCTAGTGGCTAGCGTAAACAAATGACCCGACTTAATTACAAATGATCGATTATAATGTAATTAAGTCGGGTCATTTGTAATTAAGTCGGGTCATTTGCCTCTTTGGTTGTGATCCTCTTTTTCCACCTTGCTCAAGATTTTACATTCAAACATATAACCCTCCAATACTAATATCGATATGATAACTTATTGGATTTGCTTTTGAATTCAAGAGAGAATGAATGGATAATGATTTAATTTGCTTGGTTTGTGATATTGACAAAAAAAAATCATATCTTAATACATTAAGACGTATTATTGATTTTTAATGAATTTAAAAAAAATGATTTTTTAATGTAAGAATTGGTCACGTCAAAACATCGTTTCAATGTATATAAGAATTGGTCACGTCAAAATATGTTACATATTTTTATACATTTTGACAATTTATATATGGTTTAGAACAAATAAATTTGTTGTTAATAAAGTAGTTAAACTCATCTCGTAAATAAAAAACAATAAAATGGATAATATAGAAGAATCTTTAAATCTAAATTCAATTCATGTTGGTAATATTTTATGATATTAAACAACCAATTAAGTGATACTTAGGATTATAAAATGGTGGTAACTAGATTGATTGTTTCCGATGTGTTAGTCGTCCTCCTCAATGGCATGAGATGAAACCCTGTCATATGTCAACCAACCACTGAGTCGTGGATGCCACTCTACACACACACACACACATATATATATATATATATATATATGTATCTATGTATAACCCTTCAACAAGTGTCTCAAGCTATCGATCTCTACACGAATCAAATTGTAAATTAATGGCTTCCATGAAAGTAACGAAGCTGGAGCTTCAGATGATCAGCTGTGAGAATATCATCATGAAGTTAAAAGAAACCCTTCAGGTTCTAACAATCACCCTTCTCAGCCTCCTCCTTCCTCTCTCCTTTCTTCTCCTAGCTCGTCTCTCCACCGCTTCTTATCTTTTGTCCCTCAATGGTGATTTTCCGGCGGCTGAGCCACCCTCCCTGGTCTTCTTCTCTCTCCTCCTCAAATACATTCCACTCAGCCCTCTTCACCTACTCGTCTCCCTTGTCTGTATTGCTTCCCTTGTTCACACCTTGAACGATGGGCGGATCACTTTCCCAAGCTTCTCCGTGTCACCGGCGACCACCGTGAGACCACGTCTGTACACGGCATGGATTGTTCTCTGCACATTGCAAGTGTGTGTTGGGCTAGGGATTGAAGGGAGCATAGGGGCAGGAATCGTGGGTGGCGGGTTTGGTCAAGAGAGCAATTTGATATGCAGGATTGTGTTTTTCTTGGGGTTGCATGGGACGACGGTGTACTGGTCGAGGATGATAGTGAAGCCGGTGGTGGATGATACGATGTTTGGTTATGAGATGGAGGAGAGGTGGATGGATAGGGTGGTGATGGGGGTTAGTTTGGGTGGATTGTGGTGGTGGAAGTTGAGGGATGAGGTGGAGTCCCTGGTTGGGGTGACGACGGGAGTTGGTGTTGGGGCGGTAGAGTTGCTGGGGTGGTGGTTGTATTACGTGGTGGTGACGATTGGGATGGTTAGGGTGGTGAAGGGTCTCATTTGGTTCGGCGTTATATTGCTTTACCGGAAGGTAGAACAGACGAGTGATGATGTTGATAATGGCTCCTCACTTAGGGTTCAAGAAAAAGTCTGACTCATCACCTTCCATTCATTCTTTCTTTGTTTTGTTGAATTAGACATGCATGTAATTAATTGTTTGTATCGAGTGTTCATATATATATATATATATATATATATATGATCCCTTGTATTCATATTCATATGATTTCATTCACAATTACATATATATTAAATTATATACATAAATTGATTTTACGGAACTTATAAAAAATCTTTGATATCACATAAATCCAAATATCATCTTATTATGTTCAGTGGCTAGGATTAGAGATGATTATATATAAACAACCTTTAAATGTGAAGAATCTCTAATATTAAAGGTTGGTAGAGTGAGTAATATTATTTTATTATTCAAATGTCAAAAGTTTGTTGGGATAATAATATATTTAAATAATTTACTAATTAAATGTTAAAAAATTTAAAATAGAAAACTATTAAACTTGGAAATTAACTATTAAAGAAAAGTGTTAAAACTTTTTTTAATTTTAAAAATTTCTCCATTTTTGGAAATTAACTATTAAAGATTAGTAGTTTATATTTTATTGCTCCATTTATATGTGTGTCAAAATTTAAGAATTGTAGATAAATGTTTATATTTTTAGAAGTAAAACTTAATCGAGAATGAGAACGAGAACGAAAGCATTATAAAAAATCAAATTAAAATAAGCCAACAAAAGTTGAATAACGTTAGCCCGACTTGTTCATGATTTTTTGTCAAACCATCCGTCCCTTGTCTAGAGATTTTTAAATTTTAATTATTCATTTTGATTTTTTTTAAGATTTTGATATAATTTAGTTTTTAAGCATAATAAAATGTGAAAAATATATTTTCTGTTAAATTAGCTTATAAATTAAAATTTTATATTTTTTATAATATCTTAATTATATTTCATTGTGAAAAAACCGATCATTAAATACAATTGAGTTTTTCTCAAAACTTATCTTTAATTTATATATTTTCCTTTTTATAATAGAAACAATTCATATAGTCAACTCAGCCTCAGCGTGCTTAATTGTTTAACCTAAAATTATAACGTCCTTAACATTATGAAAATGATTTATAATATAGTATAGATATGTATAGACTTGGGATCATGTAAGAGCAAGAGTTTTTCGTGAGACTCATAAGACAAATTCTCAACCTTTAAATTAGATCTATAATCTGAACATTAATAATTACAAAATTGCCACGAAACTTCTCAATAATCACAAAATTATCACCTTGCAACTTTGAACCATTAGATCATTAGCTTATAAAGTGGATCAATGAACATAAATTAGTCTTATGGGTCTCATGAAAAACCATTGGTCTCACGTGAATCCAACCCTATATATATATATATATATATACACATAGATATATATAGATTGGATCAATGAACATAAATTGGTCTTATGAGTCTCATGAAAAACCATTGGTCTCACGTGAACCCAATCCTATATATATATAGATATATAGAGGAACGATCAAATGAAAACCACATTCATTTGTAAAAACCGTACAAACCACACTCATTTGTAAAAACCATATAAACCACCCTCATACGTCGATTTCATTGTTTAATCTTATGAAATTTTTTCATGAAATTATTTAATCTTATGAAATTGTTTCATATAATACTTTTTTTGACGAATTTGTTTCATATATGGTTATGAAATTGTTTCATATAATATATAATGAAATTTAAATGAAACTGTTTCATGTATTTCTTTAAAATTAAAATAATGAAGAGGATAATATCCATGATTAACACTCTACACAATAAAAATGGTTAATCAACCTCTCATAATTACAAAAAAAATGAACAAAATAAAAAATTATGATTGGTTGAATGAGGTTTTCACGATTTTTACAAATTGAGTGGTTTTTATTTGAACGCTCCCCTATATATATATATATATATATATATATATATATAGAGGGGCGTTATTATACACCCTCTACCATTCATACAACCAATGCAACCTTAATCTAAACCATTCATTTTTTAATCAATGATCCAGATTCAATTCATGGCATAATTGTAATAAWGTTGAAGTTGGGTAACACGCGCTTCATATAAGGAGGGCAAATGAGGGCAAAATTGGAATTGGGGCTTTATTCTATTCTAAGTAACGATGCGCCAAGATTACCAACTCCGATTATCACTCTGGATTCTATTACATTAGGATATTCATTGAAGATTCACAGCATATGATTACGAAGAACGATCAATGGCAGGAAATTTTCAACCGGGTATCTTTATTGCACCAAATCGAGGTAATCGTATTGTTCATTCCATTCCGTATACCTAGTTTATACAATCTTATATATCGATATGTCTATGATTCAGTAAGGAAATTGAGCGAGAGAATCATGATCAGAAATTCATTCTCCAAGTTCAAGAACACGGCGGATAATCCTGTTGTCTTAGACGAGGACGAACCTGACGATTTTGAAATGAACCAAGCTACATTTCAACATGCTGAATCAGTTCCTCCTTTTACACCATCAGATGACTCAACGAATTTCGAAGGTTAGTGAATATAAAAGTTCGATGTTTTTAGTGTTGGCAAGATTATTAAGTTATTGGATGCATATTTGTTTTACATTTTGCATATAGAATATGGCGTCATCTGTTTTTATATGATGGTATGAATGTGATGATGTGAATGTACATCTGTAGATGCTTATATGTGTTAATAAAGAGCTAATGAGAACCTTGTGTGCTCAAATTAAGGGTAACCATTTTTTTGTATTGGTAAGCAACTTAAAGATGATCATTTTAGTGAAAATGACCATTTAAGTGAATTTGACCATGGTTAAATTGGATGTATTACAATGAACCCAAATTCATTTAAACATCTGGGAAAAATACAAAACTGATTTTGCAAATTGCCTTTACTCTTCGTTTGGATTAGCGTTTCATTATGTATGTAAAATAATGAATGAAGCTTCATCTGTTTAAATATATATTTTTACAGATGATGATGATGATKATTATGATAGTTGACTATGACAAGTCTTAGTTGATAAAACAAATCATAATTTAATCCTCATGCACACCATAACATGAAAGTCAAAAGGATCTCACTGTTAACTACTCTTTAACCGACATCGTGTGTTTGTGAAATATGGTATTGGGTGAACGGTTAGCCATGTTACAAACTTATTATGAACTTGGTTTCTTTAGCAAAACCCATTATGTATTAATCTAATTCATTTGATAGCTGACTATGTCAAGTCTTAGTTGATAAAATAGAAGAAGCAGGTGACCAAGTGAACCCAGTTGCAGTAGAATTGAACTCAATTGATGTCCAAGTTAAACCAGTTGCAGACCACGTGAATCCATTTGATGTCCAAGGGAACSGAGTTGAAGAGCAATTGAACCCAGTTGCTGGCCCATTCCATACAGTAGAAGAAGCAGATGACTCAACACATTGCGCTGGTTAGTGATGTTTAACATTTATCTTTACCATATTGATCATATCACCCAATTCATTTACATAACAAATATTTTTAATCATCATGAAATGAGATTCATCAGTTACAACTTAAAGATGATCATTTTAGTGAAAATGACCATTTAAGTGAACATGACCATGGTTAAATTGAATGTATTACAATGAACCCAAATTCATTTAAACATTTGGGAAAAATACGAAATGTATCCGTGGATGCACCATCTTTCTTGGTCACCATGAGAGGAATATTAGGTGATTATGTGCATGATCAGAAGCTCCACTTTTGCATTTTTCTATAAATTTATGTTGTTTCAAGTGAAGGCAACATAAACAAATACGAAATACAGTAGTAATTATCAATTTGAGCTGTAAGCATATAGATTCAACAAATGCATTGTAGACTAGAGTACACATGCAGATGCCAGCACCTTATCAATATTATGCTCCAGTTCAAACATGTCAAACAAGAAAAGATCCTACTTCTATAAACCCAAATGAATGACATAAAAATAAGAACAATTCATATACATACTTTCAGAGGGAAAAAATATGATCATGTAACTATTATTTACCATGCAAAGAACATGTGATAGATTTAAAAGAGGTCATTACTGTTGTCTCACATAGTAGCACCAGCATATGTTACATGAATTCTGCATAAACATGAGCGAGTCTACCGCCTCATCTCTTTTAGTAGATTGAGATCTATAATGGCCTTCCCTATCTCGTTTAGTAGATTGAGAGCCAGAATGGTCTTCCCTGTCTATTTTAGTAGATTGAGAGACAATAAATTACAACTAATGCAACTGGGCTGTTATGCAGTAGTCCATGCTCACTCTGGTTCTAATTTTGATGTGCTTTCACTTCTGCAAAAGAAGTATTTTTTTGAGCTGAAAATGTAGTAGTGCCTATGGAGATTGTCCTTTATTGCTATTACTTGCTAATTCTTTTGAACCAATATAATTTCGTGTTCTTTAATATAGGACCAAAGGAGTGTAGAATATGCCTTAAACAAGGAAGTTCCAAATGCATATATAATTAATCAATTGCAGCAAGTTTCATAACAAGAAAAGCAATTGCAACTCTAATGGGATCTATGTTTGCTMTAATGTAACAACAAATTTCAAATGCATATATAATTAATCTACTGTGTACTGTGCAGTGAAKGGGGCAAAGGTGGGCTGGCTGACTTTGCCTTTAAGCTACTGTGTACTGTGCAGTAAACATAAACGCACCCTTTGAAGATTTGCTGTCATTCCAACCTATATGTTTAAATCAGACACGACTCAACATACATATATACCTCTTTCTCAATGCACACCATAACATGAAAGTCAAAGGATCTCTGTTAACTAGTATTGAATATAGCATCATGAATCTGGTTTCATCATTACATATGTACTCATTGTGTATTCCATGTAAACTGATTCTGCTACTGCTATTGCTTCATTCGTTCATCCATTTATTCCATCAACTATGTATGAATTTATTTGGAAATCCATTGTTAATGCTACTGGTTTAATTACTTATTCATTTTTTGTTATCTCTTAGCATATTTTGCCTAAATGTAACCTATTTAGGCAAAAAATCATTCAGAATCTGGTTTCTTAGCATTGTTTGTCTGATCATGTAACCTCTTTATGCATACCATCATGATCAATCACATAGATAAATCTTAATGAACCCAGGTTCACATTGCAGCAAGTATCATTGGTCTGTCTTTAGTTGTATTGGTAGCAAGATTCTTTAGGTCATGATATTGGGGCAATTGAACATTATGGTAAGAATATATGTTCAACTTTACTAACCATTGGAATGTRCTGAGTCATTTTCTTCTTTGACTGGAAGAACTGGGCCAACAATTTTGAACTGCATCAGGTTTCATTACAACACAATCAACTTCTTCTTCGTCTAAAAGAACATGTTTTGTAGTAGTGTAAAATCCTACTAAACATCATACTAGATAGTTGAACATAACGGTTATGAAAACCTTAATGAGCAATATGAGTTGTTTTTGGAGGTTGTCAAATGTCAGTATAAAAAAAKATTCTTTTGTAATAATCATTTTAAACACAACTTCAATTTATGTAGRCATAGCATGAGTATCCATTATGTAGAATGACCTAACAATGAGTATTAAGAAAAATGATTATGAAGAATAGTAATCAAACAAGGTTCACAATGCATCAAGTTTTAATTGGTCTATTAGAACTGCATCTGGGTTAATCTTCAATGTTACTTTTCTTTCCCTGTCCATCAGGGGCATATGTAAATATTGAACAACAGGTTTCTTTGTAATCTCGTATCCTTATGTTATTGTTCAATTCACCCAAATCCTTTTGTCTATTTCATCTTCTTCACAAGAAACTGCTAATGCTCCTGCTACTACTACTGCTACTGCTACTGCTACTGCTACTGCTACTGCTACTGCTACTGCTACTGCTAATGCTAATGCTAATGCTAATGCTAATGCTAATGCTAATGCTAATGCTAATGCTAATGCTAATG